CAATGTCGATGATGGCCATTACGGTTCCGACGAAGGTGATATCCAGAGAACTTGTGAAGCTTGCAGGGCCCTTTTCTCGCTTGGTCTGGTAGCAGAAGGAAGCACGCTCGAAAGTTCGTGAAAATAGAATGATGCTCTGGGTGTTCACAAGTCATGAGCGTGCGATAGCGCTTGTGTTATACAGATTATAGTAGCCATTTCCCGGCGTGAGCCTTGCACAAGCGCCGGCCCCTGTTAAATAAATGAAAGCTTTACATGACAAGACGCTCGGGGACTGCCAAAAAGGGCTGTTGTGACAATATCGGTCTCGGCGGATTATGCATTCAGAAACGGTTTGGTCTGTAGGAGAGGAAGCTTGACCGCCAACTCAATTGATAAACACTCTTAACCAAATACAGTTAGTGTGTGGCCCACTGAGCATCCATCAGCTCATGCATTCCTCATGCGGAGTGCCATGTGGGATTCTGACCACACTCTATGCGTGGAGTAACGAATGTCTCAAGGTTCATCTCGTTTCATTATTACAATTATGACTAAAAGTGTTGGTTACTGATCAACAGAACCTTATCTGTCCTAGTGATGTCCTCGATCGGTGGATAACGTCATGAAAGTCAAGCAGAAGTCAGTATGCGGAAACTGTAGACAGAGGAAATTAGGGGTAAGATTTCGCATAATCTCTTGATGGATTCAAGCAAATGCTATAGCTCTTATCTCTTAGTGTGACGGGAAGCACCCGGAATGCAGCCAATGCACACTTACTGGGCGCAAGTGTCCAGGTTACCCGCAGGAGTGGACGTTCGTCCAGCAGAGCATACCTTCAACTGAGGCATCGCATCAAAATCAGATCACGCGTAATGGCGCTACTGGCGGGTCGCATTCCCGCCAAGAAGAGTCAGTCAGAAGCACCCCTCCGCGGCGGATCTCGCATGACCCCACTGCTCAGGATAGCTTCGCTACTATAGAGATTCCGGATATCATTTCAGCTTCACCTGAAGAGTTGGCCTTTATTGTGGTCGAAAACTACATTCCAAAAGATGAGCTTCCTTTTCTGTCCTACGGTTCGAATAACAGTAGCTGCTCACGGGTCTGCGGCTCCTGGGTTGAGGTTCTCCCGCGTCTTGCCAATACCACGAGTCAGGAAAGCGTTCTCTTCCTCTCCCTGAAAGCGCTTGCTTTTTCCATTGCTTTTCATAAATATCCTCAGAAAGTCTCTAGTCTGGACGCTACGACGGCTTATTCTGCAGCGATTTGTGCATTGAGAAGGCAGTTGGCGTCGGAAAGTCAGCCATTCAATGCAGAACTAGCCGCCTCGATCATGTGTTTGAGCTTAGCTGAGGTGAGATACTTTATTCCAGAAGGGTACCGGAGCGGTACTAACCAGGAAGTATTCATATATAGGCCATGTTTCCGGGAATGGGACGGGGGATTTCAACCCACATCAAAGGCGTGGGTCAATTGATGAAAGCCCATGGACCTAATCATTATCAGGCCGGGTTGCTGCACAAGCTCTTCGTAGGGTTCCGACCTCTCCTGGTTAGTATGATTCATGGTCAGTGTCTAGGTAGAAAATTATCAGATGTCTGACGCACGTTAAGGTCATCGACGCATTTGGCTTGCGCGAGCCAACCTTTCTTGCTGAGAAGCAATGGACATCTATACCCTTTGCATTTTCTAACACATCGCTCATGCAGGACTTCTTGAGTGAAGTTGCAATAATTCCGAATTACTTGCACGCGGTTGACCAACTCATGGTCAACCCAGACGAAGGCTCAGCTGAGAATGTCACCGAAGTCTGCTTCGCTTTTGTGGAGTGGGTCAATCGACTCGAGCAATGGGAGCAAATGTTGGAGCGCGAAGAAGGGGGCACATACGAGAAATCGTCCGAAGGAGAACAAGCAGCACAGGCGATTAATCCTGGCATTACAGGCCACACTCTCTGGTTTCCGAGCGTTACCATAGCGAATGTGTTGACCCACCTCTGGGCTATTCATATCGTTTGTCTCAAGGAGATTGACAAACTCAGGGCGACTTTCAGCAGTATTGTGGAGCCTTGTATACCTGCAAAGTTCTGCAGTGTGGAATACCAGCAGAACCAGGTTCTTACTCTCTCGAAGCGGATCTGCCACAGCATGGAGTACCTGCTGCAGGATGAACTGAAATTCTTCGGACCGGCTTCCACTGTTTTTCCTCTCAAGGTGGCTTACGACTCATTCAGAGAGTGTGGGACGAGTCAGGAGGGCTATATCAAGTTTCTTAACTCCGTAGTCAGTCGACTTGACGCGAAGGGGCTGCGCGCGATACCTGCTGCGATCTATGGGCCATGAACGACTCTGCAATCGTTTCACTGTCTAGTTCGGCGTTGCCTTGTTTGGCTTTGTCTTGTTTATTCTTTGTCGATATATAACAGTACATTAAACCACAATGGCCGAAAAGTGCATAAATATTCATGAGTTCGATAGATAGTGTATGGCAGCAAGGCAGATAACAGCAGGTAAACAGCCCCACGTCTTGTATGTTTTGTTTGCATCCCCAGACCCGTTCTCCTCCATCACAAAGCATTAGCTCCAGGGACCAAAACCCATGTCCCAAACATCAATTGTCACCTGCTTCCTGTAGAATGGCTCTCGAAAATGACGCGGTAGCCGGAGCCACAATTGAGCTTCTGGAAGCTCGCCTCCAGCGACTCACCTACCTCCTCACAGGCGACGCAAGCTGGACGGGCACTCCCACCGCGCCCGCCAAACCCGCCTCCCTCGACGACACGGTCTCGCGGCGCCTCCTCCGTCTAGAAAAGAACCTCGAGAACCTCAGCAGGAATAACCCCGCTGTACGAGATGTTCTACAGCTCCGTAAGTATTCCTTTTCTGTATCTCGCAGACGAACCAAAACTAACAGGACCAAATTCAGACGATCGCTTCCCCGACCTCTTCCACCCTACACCTCCGCAATCCATCCCGGAGAACCTGACAACACAGAACCTCGCCTCAATTGTCCTCTCGTACGCTTCTGCATTCCCGGAGACCGCGTCCAGACTCACTTCGTTGAATGACCTGCCTGTCCCGGACGCCCAGGCGTCGGCGTCTCTCGTCCAGCTGCAGCCGCGTCTGGATCAATTGGCTCGTACCCAGGAGGAACAGGCGAGGGAGATATCTGAGCTCCGCGTGCGGACAGCGCGGGTGTTGCAGCGCTGGTATGAGGTTGGGCTGGTGGGGAGCGGCGAGTGCTGGGCTGAATGGGAGGGACGGCTGGAGGATGTGGAGCGGGAGGTGAAGAGGGAGGAGGTGGTGAGGGAGAGAAGGGCGAGAGAGATTTGAGGCTGTTCCTTCTTGCGGCTTGAGTTTTGACTTTCTATGATACCATTCTGTTGTCTGTTGGTTGGACCTTTTATGTCTCATGCTCGTTGGCTTGTACAATTCTGAATCCGGAGCTCAGGTGGATAGATTCAGGCCACCTGTTGAACATTCTGCATTCTTCTGCTGGTCCATTTTATTTGCTCATACTGCGATCAAACACACTAACATGTTCGCTGAAAATTTGCAGCCAGATCTGTTCGAGACATGAGGTAATGAAAGGTTGCTGATGCTTTGGTAAAGGGAACGAGGCTGAATGCCACTGTTCAACCGTTAGTCTGAAAGTTTGAGCTAACTCATTGATAGAGCTTTGAGTTTCTCGCATCCCGCGGTTTTGATATCACAAGCCGGCTATGACGTGTCAACGAATGCAGGCAGAGGATAGTGTCATTGCTGGTACCTCTCTATTTAAATGGAATACAGGTGATTGTCTCGTTGCTACATGCATCTTTCTCCTTCTATCCGATGCTAAGACAACATGAAAAATCCTTTGGCAAATGAAGATATATGTCTATATCCCGCGTGCATCTACATGGTTTAAGGTCCAAGGTCCGAACTTGCTTCCCTTTAGAACGGAAAACAAGGGCCACAGGCACCTTGTCAAAACAGCTCTTCTTCGTCCGTTACGTATGCCCACATCCATGGTTGTGGGCGTACTTGGCCCATGGATCATAGAACAGCTCATGTACTTAGACACGAGAGGTAAGATATGCTGCAGCCTGGGCTTGAGCGGTCTAGGTCAGAGTGGATTCAAATCCCGTGGGTCAACCATATTATCTGAAAAACCCAACCATGATCTTTGAAGAACGATTGCAACAGTAGTGTATGTAGTATGACTAGTAAATGCCGTACGGACATGAAGAAGCCCAACAAGAGATGCTTAGCGGTACCTTAATTATCTGTTCGCTCAGGGTCCAAAATTCACAGTTCTCTTGACGATCCCTCAACAGCCTTTGCTCGGCTTGATACTTGATCTTTCCCTCTTATGTATTTGAGAGTTATATAGCACAGCAGGAGACCTCCGCATCTCCCAGCCGCACTTCAGATGCCTGCAATGGGCCACCGTAGCAGTTAGACTGCCTACTAGCGAGGACGTTCAAGTCTGCGGAGATCAATTCACGTATCCAGAGTCTCAAGCTTTGAGCCATTTACTGACTACCGTAGAATCTCCACAGACTGACCAGTTGCCACGAAACTTACTACTCCCATAGACCAATCCATACCCGCAGAACTCGACTGCCTACCGTACCCCGCGTGTCGTGCTTCTAGAATGGAGTACGGTCTCAACTCAGGTCGCAGTCCGGGAATTGAGTCCCTGGACGAAGGGAGGCACTGGATTTCTAATCCAAAACTGCGAATATAAGGAAAGATTCGCGCCCGCCATCCTAGGAGTGTCACATATGTCAGTTACTGTTTGTGATTCACACCTCGGATTTCAAAGAAGACCTTCCTGCTGGATGAGATCAGTGAAATCCTGAGTCGTCAGCTTGATCACCCGACATATACTGTCGATATTTCATCTGTTAGCATCAGTAGCGGTAGCAGCCGCACCCTCCATGATGCTGCTCAGGGTGAAGAATGTGTGCACAGATAAAAAGCGCCAAACTGCCCGGCTCGCGGCACTCTGTATCCTCGCCCAGCGAACAACCTATGTCAATATCAACTTCGCAGAGCACGTGTCACGCATCCGCGGCTAATTTCACCCTTGACGATCTCGCCGCTATCGATGCCATCAAGGAATTAGCGACAAGGTACGGGCGGGTCTCCCATATGAGTGTTCTCGACCCTAGTTACAAATTCTTCGTGAATAGAGCGCGCACTGCTGCTCTATCGTTCAAAGTGCATAACAGGGTTGCTCTAGTCATGGGCGATTCCCTGTGCGAGCCGGACTGGTTCGCCAATGTCCTCGCAGAATTCAAGGAGTATCGGAAGAGATCCGGATGGAGTAGCGCTTTTATCGGTGCCAGCGAAGTGTTTGCCGAATACGCTAAGGAACATGGATGGACGACCATGCAATCCGGCACCGAGCGCGTGCTCAATCCCATGACCAATGATGTATTGAATGAGAGAGCGGGGAAACGGATCATCATACAAAGCAAGCAACTGCTCAATCTGAGCAAAGGCAACGTCTCTTTGCGATTATACGTACCGGCCCAGGGTGAGGACCTGGACGTGCAGAGAGAACTGGTCAGGGTTTATGACTCCTGGCGTGAGAAGCGAGATTGTGTTGCCGGCGCAAAGGCTTTCATCACGGTGTATGACCCCTTTTCAATGCCAGCAATGATGATATACATCTATACCAGAGGCCCAGATGGTGTAGCCCACGGCTTCGCGGCCATGCGACATCTCGGTGCCAACCAAGGATACCACATTGACCTTTGCATTGCGGCTCGTGGAGCGCCCGGAGGGATCACCGATCTGTTAATCGTTGCTGCCATGGCGCTCTTGCAGTCAATGAGAGTGTCATACCTTAGCCTTGGATCTGAACCCCTGGAAACACTGGCTGACATAACCCGACTGTCGCCTCCGATCGAGAAGATCACTAGAGCGATATACAAGCGTACATTCAAACAAATGCTTTTCCAGGGAAAACAGATGTTTCACGAAAAGTTCAAGCCGGATGGTTCGCAGGGATCGCCGCTTTTCATCCTTTTTCCCGCTGGTGCTCCGAGTCCACGACAGTTGGTCGCGCTTTCCCGAATGTCGAATATCAGCATTCGAAAGCTTGTTTTTTGCAAGGTCGGGAAAGAACTCGAAGACGCTTATTCTTGTCAAGCAAAAGATCGAAGAATAACGACATGAGACGGATCGTCCAAAGTGAGATGAGATATCAGTGATCGCGTTCGATAACCAACGAACAAGGTTGCTGACGGTTGCGCTGAAGAAGTCTCCAGGCGGTGGTTGCGCAATCATCTTGTCTGCGAGCATCAACAAGCACAATTTCACAGTGATCCTAGAGGCTGGAACAATAATAATGAGCCATGCTGTCCGGACTACCCGGCATCCCAATCCATGCACAGACTACCCTTGAAGGATCTAGAACATGCAGTAGGAAGACGACGATCATGCTGAAATCTCGGGTGGGTTGCTCCACCATGATGATATTATTTAATGTCAGAGCCAAATTTCCTGGAAATTAATATGGATCTAGGGAAGATTGATTCAATTCGCAATGCCCATGTTTCGTAGATTAACGGATGCTAATCCTCATTTCGCTGCTTCTGTGCATATACCACTGTGCCACATGCGTCAGCCTCACCATAAAAGAAAAAGGCCTAGAACCTTCAGAGCATGAGCAAATCAGTTGAACTAAATACAACTGCTGAGGCCGAAACTAGAATAATTCTTTTACTCTTCTTTTTGGCTTGGAAACTTTTGCGTAGCTCAGTCGCTAAGTAGGACCCATTATTATGTGCATGGGGCGATTTTGGCGCACTCCTAAATTTCCAAATACCAAGATCTCATTCTGATTCATTACTGGGCCCATGGTTCCGACTCAGCATTGTTGGTTTCAAATTTGGTCTGTGAGCCTTTTGACTGTAAGTTCAAACGTCGCAGAGCTACTCCATATACTATGAGTATGCATTCATTGTTTATCTTTGACGAAAATATCTGCAAACAAGGATAAGCGCAACGGCGCAATGACACAAGGAAATAACAAAGGATCATTGCCGAACATGCACTAATAATAACCACAGAAACAATGAGCATTGGTCAGTCTTGTTACATCCACTTATTCCACCTACCCCAGCTGCCCCTCTTAGTGCTCCGTCAATTCGCCCATCTTCCAATCATGCTTTCTCGTCCTCTTCAGTCGTCGGACCTGCCAGGGGGAAATGATACTAATAATCCCTATGTACTCCGTAGACGAAAGAGAAAAAGGACCAGACCATTGAGACCAAAGTCAAGTCTCAATTTTCAAGAGTACGAGTCCGTCTGTTTGCCTTGTGGAACGCATTTACATGGCCCACAAGCAGCATGGTTCCTGGGGATGATACTCCCGTCCGTACAGGGCTGCCCTTTGTACCTACCTTATGTATTGTGACTCCACGGAACTGTGATCCAAAAGCAAGGTAGCCGGTAATCTAGGTTTTACTTTGACTCGACGAGGTCCTGGCTATCTTGTAAGGCTCTCAGGGCTTGTATGGTCTGTCTAGATCCCATAAAGACAAGTAGTTGGTCAGTTATTTCTACCTAGTTCTTTCGTGTTGACCTGAGATAACTACATGTCTCTCACCCACTTGGTTCCCACTACGGAGAATGTACTACCATACATAGACTAGTCCACTCACTGATCAACTCTCCTTTTCCCGACCGGACACTGGGTCAAGGCGCTCTCTGTCTCTCATCCGTTAATCTCCATCTTCATCATCATCATCTTCTTATTCTATCATTCTTAGAGAGGTACTAGTGTTAACCAATCTTTTCTCAAACTTCATACTGTCCTCGTTTCTTTGTTTTTTACCTCTTTCTTCTTCGGCCTCCCCATCGATTGGTCTACACCCGTCGATTTACACTCGTTCCTCACCTTGATTCTTCTATTATCTTTCGATTTTTCTTCCTTTCTTCCCACTAACGTTTCAAACACCACCTTCGTTCCCTACAGCCAGGTGCTGTTGTTGTCTCTCCGCGTCTCTGCAAGGGGTTCTCGCTTGCTTTCAGTTTCATACCACCAGCCTCATGCTAGATTCGATTGATCTCTAACTATCGATTTGACTCGGTCAATATTCTCACGCCGACATCTGCACCAGTTTTCGTCATCGTAAGATTTACACTCGCTTTGACCTGGATCGTGTCGCAAGGTACGATTACACGTCACCTCATCTTCATTTTCTCTCTCCCTTGTCATTGCTCCGGTTCCTGCTGCCTTCATTACAATGTTCTGTTACCGACTAGCAATTGTATCTATATGTTCTTTTCTTATGCGCATTTACATTTCCATTTGTGTTGCGAGTTGTGACTGACTGTGTGCACAGTCTCATTCTTTTCTGCATTCAAGTCCCTCTCTTCACCTAAATCAACAATCAATCTCAATTGATAGCGACTTATACCATCTCGACTTCACGAAAGAAATAACGTATCAGAACATCGGCCTGCGTTTGCCTTGTCGCGTGTGATATCTGTTACATCACGATTGGGTCGAATCGAACAAGAATCGAATTCTTCACATCCAACCGCTTCGACGACTGTGTATATAGCGAATACCGTTCATGGTGGCATATTCTGAGCATTCTCCGTCCTTTCATAAACCGAGTCCATATACGGAGCCCCGGAGAAGAATGGCGAAGTTTCGGGCAAGCAATATTTTAGGCGACCCATTTGCGCTCGCGACCGTCTCCATCTCGATTGTACGTCGTCCCTAATGCGGGTTATTACGGACATAGGTGGCTCGTGACTAATCGCATTCTCGATCTTTTAGCTTGCGTGGTTGATCGCATGTATCGCATCAATCATCTCGGATATCAAGACGGATTATCCCAATTACTCGTGGTGGGCGGTCGCCTACATGTTTTGTTGTATTATCGGTGTCACAATTGTTTTTGGTTCGGACACCGGTCTCGTCTATGGGGTAGCGGTATGTTTCACGACCTCGTCGTGGGATTCTCGGCGCTGATGAGTAACAGGTTGTGGGCTATCTTTCAACAGGCTTAGTGCTGACCACTTTGGCGGTCAATACTCTGGTCTACGCAGATGAATCCTCGTCGCAGGCTGCAGCTGCCGGATTCATTCTCTTGTCCATGGTCATTGTAAGTTGTTCGTGGTTGATCTTCTAGCGGTCGGAGCATTCTCTCATACTAAACTAACCTTAAAACAGGTCGTGTGGATATTCTACTTTGGATCGTCTCCTCAAGCTACGCATCGCGGCTTTATCGATTCGTTCGCCCTCAACAAGGAAAGCAGCGGCGCGTACGGTAACCGACCCATGTCTACGGCTTTTGGTCCTCGCCCAGACACAATGTCGACAAGCGCACCCCAGATGTACACTTCTGCCCAACTCAACGGCTTCGAAACGTCGTCTCCAGTGTCAGGTTATCCTGGTGGTGCTCCCGGCTCAGAAAACCGCAGCTCGTCCCAAGCTCGTTTTGGCAACCCGTCTGCCAGCAACGTTACTGGGAACAACAACGGTCAGGACGAAGTCCCGCAGCCAACAGAATACCCGTACAAGGCAAAAGCGATATATTCCTACGACGCGAATCCTGAAGATGCCAACGAGATTAGTTTCAGCAAACATGAAATCTTGGAAGTGTCGGATGTCAGCGGCAGATGGTGGCAGGCCAGAAAATCCAACGGAGAGACCGGTATTGCTCCATCGAATTACCTAATTTTGCTGTGATTCGGTTGGAGTGCCACTTTTTTCCCTTTCTTGTTCTTCTGGTCATTCCTACTTTTGTCGCCATTCTGTCGCAAAAGCTTTCGTATTTGATACCCTTCGAGTAGTATCACTCGGCCTGAGATCTGGTTCCGCGAAAAGATCATGTTATGTCTGATGGTTTCTTTTTGGATTCTGCTTTAAATGTGGCATCCCGTTCTAAGTGATGCGTTCTTTCAGTCTGCTGTTTTATCTCCATCTTTTATCACCATTCAGCGGGCATCTGCGCGCTTGTCATTCATGGTTCTGTCTTCCATTTGTGATGCCTCGGATGTGTTCCCAACGGTTCGATGTGTAGTTCTTCTTTTATTTCTTTCGGACTTCCACCTGCTGTTAGAGAGATGTCGAAAGTATTCATTTGTAGTGGAGAAGCAATATATAGCCATTCGAGTTAGATCATCTCTAGTGAGTGCGATTATGTCCAATAAGTTCGAGATCGCAATGCCGTGGATCCCAGTCCCAATGTCGTCTACTTCGAGATCGTGCTCAGTAGGTGCCACGTGCGCGGGATGTTGCGTCCAGCATCGGAGAATTTCCCATAATTTTCGTTCAGTGAGCTCGAACCTTCCATTGCTTCAAACAACAAGAGCAAGCAGGAAACGATGTCGACCAGAATGTTTCCCCAAATGAAGTCGTGGAACGCCTCTATCTATGCTTCTTTCGTAGAGAGAGGTACTGTTGGGCGTATCTAGATCGAGGCCCCCACCATCTGGCAAGCAGAGAAGCCCGTCCACTCAGGAAAGAGCTGACTCGGCCTCCTCTTCTTCGTCCACTGGATGCGCTCACAACTCAGAGTCAGGAGTCGGACTTGCAAGGTCGAGGCACACTGTCTAACTCCCTAGGCGGTGGGTTGGGTGTCTTCTTCTCCAGTGGTTTACCTGTCTAGTCTTAGTCCCCAAGACCAATCTCCAGTTCTCCATTGTCGGATCCCCCAATGAGATGGCTTGCCCGCAAGCCAGAACCACACTTGCTGCCACGCAAATGGGCCTTGCTATGTCTGGTGTGCAGTCGTGGAGACTGCATTGGGGAGATCTCGATTCTTGACTGTTCTCAAGAAAAGTTGGAAAGTCATGAAAATGCTTGAGTCTTGTACCGGCCCTGGTGTCCACGGCTTGTCTGCTAGCTGAAGGGATTTCCTTGTCTTCAACCAAGCTTCTGGTGTAGAACTGAACAGAACCACATAGCTATCTACCGCAGGGCATAGTGATGCTTGCTATGTTGTGCATTGACCTGCATTGACATCGTCACTAGATTTGTTCTTCTACTGCAAGGCTGGACGGACTCAAACAGTTTCTAATTTTGTAATTTTTTTGTGGAAGAATGATCGTTGTTTGAGATATATAATCCCTGGGTCTACGTCTTTATTGTTTTCAAAAAAAATCCTCTCAGTACTTGGTGGACAAGTTGTTGGAGCGGCCAGGTTTATAGTCAC